AGTCAGAAGCTCTTTTTTTTTTCTGTGGCAGAGCCCATGTGCAAATATGTGAGAAACCCAGAAGACATCAGGGCCCTAAAAAGGAATCGGTCACATTAGGTCTGTTTATTCACGCATTTGTGTACGGGCTGCGAGAGCATCAGCTGGGACCAAGTCTCCTTCCTGGTTTGCTGTTTACTTGGCCACTACAGTTGCAGTGTCTGAACGCTTCACAGGTTGCAGAGAGAGAAGAAATAATGTTATCTCTGTCTCCCTGCAGGCTGCTGACAGAAGCAGGGTGTTTGGTTTGCTGACTCATTCCTTTGGGGATGCGCATACACGTCCCCACACACACTTGGCATCTAACCTGGGTGGCTTGGTGAGGGCACTGCTGGCAGTGGCAGGGAAGCTTTTGGTGGCTCTTCTCTCTGCTCAGGTCCAGGACCTGAAGGTGGGAACCTTCAGGTCTGGCCGATCCACCTGTGCTGATCCGTCTGTAGTTGGAGGTTGGATGGTGCTGGTTGTCACAAGGAGTGTTGGTCACACCTGCGGGGAGCAGTGTGGGGCTGTGGATGTTTCCTACTAGAACAAGTCTCCCCTTTTGTGTTTGTGAGCTACGTGGTGAGGGGGAGCAGTGTGTGGCAGCTTGAGGGGTAAACCTTGTGGGATTTGGGACCTGCCAAACAGCTCAGCCCACGACGCTCCGTGCGTGGTTTGCTTGGGTTTGCCTTTTCTCCTGCAGCATCCCCATCCATGCCTTCCAACTCCAGTTCGATCACGGCAGTTTTCAGAGGAAAAGAGTCTTGACAGGTCACTGGTGCTGTGCTCTGTGAAGCAGACAGGGTGGTTGACTCTGCAGCCGCAGGAAGATGTTACTTTTCCCTTGGCTCTCCTGGGAGAGTGCCCGGCTTCCCCGCAGCCGGCTGGCAGAGCTGCCGCTGGGCAGGGACCCCGTGGGCTGGCAGCTCCCACCGATCCGTCGGGAGCCCCGCTGCCGGTGCTGCTGCTCTGCGACCTGGACTTGTCCCTCCTCCCTCAGCCCCGACCACTCCACGCCCCAGCTCACTGGCTTGCTCTTTAATGTGACTTTCTCACGGCTCCGTGTTACTCTGCTTCAGTTACGGAACTGGCTCAGTTTCTTTTTCCTTGTGCAGTTTAGAGTTTGCTGGAGTTTCTTCCTGGTTGCAAAAGCCATTGGAAATGGGCAGAATCGTAAAAGCTTATCAGTGAGCAGTAACTCTGCCCTCTGGCTCCCCAGCTCTGTTACGCGTTGATTCGCTCCGGCGAGTTGTAACTCCGCGCAACATCTCGTGTTGCCACATCAGTCCTTCTTTATTTACGCCAAACACCACTTTCCCTCTCTCCTGCCCTCCAAGTTTCACAGCTCTGGAGCTGAGCAGCCGGGCGGTGGCAGCACTCCATCTCCTGGGATGATGCCTCCGCCTGGAGCAGCGCTGGCAACGCTAACTCCGAGGTTCCTCTCCGCTTTCGCTGCCTGGAAGGTGCAGTGCAGGTGTTTGGTGCTGCAACCAGAGATCTGCAGGAAGAATTCATGTTGTGACAAACGGAACAGACGCTGGCAGATGAGCGCAGCCATTAGGAAGTCCGGGATCCCTGATAGTGCTAAATTGGTGATGTTCTTTCCGAGTAGCTGGGCAGAATATTTCTGCGAGCTGTATCTGCCAGCGCTTTGCAGGCAGAGCAGAGTTGCTGCTGGCCATGTGTGACTCTTGTTCAAATCCTATTGACACATAACATCATTTCTAAAAATGTTTGGCACCGATCTAATCATCGGTGCAGAGAGGCCAATTACTCAAGCATCTTGTGTTTTTTCACTGGGGCATATTCTGTCAGATTCTGTCAGACCCTGAAAATAGAAGCCCGATATTTTTTTAATAATTATTGGTTTTTTTAGGTTTGTTTCCAAAACGTTGCAGCAGCAGTCATGAGGATCTGGACAAGAAGTGCCTGAAAACCCCTTTGCCTTCCAACAAGGAGCTGGTAAACCAGGCTTAACAGAAAGTGCATCTCTTTTCAGGGGCCCTAAAATTATTGCCATCCTTTCTTCTCTCCAATCTGTGGGATAGTGGTCACGCTGCGGTGCTTCACTAACAGGAGTCTGCCAGTTTTCCCCTGAAGACTCGAGGGAAAATTTTCTTGTTTCACGTGACTTTTTTTTTTCTTTCTTTTTAATTTCTTCGGCTCCCATTTATGGTATTTGAAAAATTCCAAGGGGCTGAAATATTTTCCTTGTGCAAATGGGTAAAGGATGTTTTCTTGCTAGATTTTGGCCCACAGAAATCCTGTGATAATCTGAGAAGGGCAGAAAAGACCAAGTCAAGGGAGGTGGTGCTTGGAGCCTAATCACTAAACTCCCGCGGATTAGAGCTGGGGCGCTGTGCCAAGGCGACCCGAGCTCTATTCCCGGCCCTTTAAACCCCCCAGCTCCTTCGGATACACGTTTCAGGGAAAGCATCAGCCTTGCTGATCGGTTTTCCAACCCTCTGGAGCTAAAAAAAGCATGGCTGTTAAATGTGATGAACTCATTTCAGGCTGGCAAGGTGATGTTCCTGGGAGTGTGGGGGCCATTCCCACTGCTGGGGGTGCTCAGCACTGGCAGGGTGATGCTAGGGAGGATGCTCTGCCATCATGGGAAGGATGAGCAGAATTCTCCCAGGGGGATGGCAGCTGGTGATTTCTCAGCACTGTATCCTTTGCAGGGAGTGGAAATTGCTCCCTTCCTTTCCCTTTCTCTGCTCTGCCGCACTGTTGCTTCCCAGTTGTTCCGTGCCTGGGCTGGTGCTGCCTAGGCTGGAGGAGCTGGCCTCAGGACACGGTGTTTGGGCAGGGACACACAGGTGTGTTACATGGTGCTGAATGCCATTCAGGATAAGTACAGACTTTACAGAGGTATAAAGCTCCTGTGGTTTGTGTTTGGTCTGAAAATCCAGTCCCATCTGTTCCAGATGTTTCCAGCCGAGTTTGTAGCAAGGAGCTACAGGTGCTGCTTTGCAGGAAAAAATAATAATTTAAAAAAAGGGGTTGTGCCTTCACAACCATTGCAAACTGGTAAGGGTACCCATGGAGTATTTTCCCTTCTGTTGCCTTAGAAAAGACACCTAAATAGTCTTAAATAATTTATTGAAGAGCTGGAGCTTTCAGGGGAGGCTGGTGTGTGCCTGAGTGCTGGCTTGGTGTGCTGTGCTGGCAAGGAGCACGTCCCACCCCTCTGCACCCGGCAGCAGCTGCCTGGGGAATGGCACCTTTCCTAGCTCAGGGAAATTTCTGCTCCAAATCCTCTGGCTCCTGGAATTCAGGCTGAAACAGCCTGTGTGAAGGAGGAGGAGCTGGCTTTGGACTAGACCTAAGCTTGGGAGTCAATGCTCACATACATTTTGGGGTACAGTGCTGTATTTTTTACTGCCGTCCAGTAATCCAAGTGAAAAACGTCTATGTCCGTAAGCTTTGGTACTGTGCTTGAATCTGACTTACTTTTCTTCATTGTTTTTGTCAGTGCCATGTTTGAGACTCGTTTTGGGAGTTGAGCTGTGGACTAAGAGCTGAGGATGAGGCTGGAGGTGGGTTAGTAAAGGTGCTTGAAGTAGAGGAAAACTTGGCAGAGGCTGGAGAGTGGCTCCTGAGGTACTGCTTTCATGACATGGGACTCTGGTGCTACCTTTTGTGGCTGAGTCTTATTTTTTATTTTCTAGTTAGGTAGCCTGGGCATTGGCATGCAAGGTAAACACCCATAGGCATTCTGAGTTCTTGGTATTCATCTGTTCAGTATTTATACCCTCCTGAATTTGAATATTCCTGTAAGATAATTCTGCAAGTGTTCGCTGCTACTGCTGCCAGAGGATCTTGAATGGAAGCAGTATGGATGGGAGGAAGTTTTGAAGGCCTTGTCTCACTGTGAATTGAGTTCCTATTCCCCTGAGGGAATGTAAGGAAGAGGTGTTGTTTTATGGCTGATTTTTGGTATGAAAACAGGTTACCAGCTTGGTCCCAGTTGTATTAGGATAGAAGGCTCCCATGGCAACTGCCCAGTAGCGAGCAGCAAATGTGTACTTAGCCTCTAAGGAGATTATTTAACACGGTTCCAATTTTGTTTATTATTATTATTATTTTATTATTTTTGTATTTGCTTGTCAAGAGTGGATTTGCAGACGTACCCTCGGGACGCAGGCAGGGTCTGGTTTTGTGGGGGAAGCACAGCAGCAGGAGTCTTGGGCAGCTCTGCGGAAGCACAAGAGCGGAATTAGGAGTCTCTGCTGTCCGCAGAGGCAGATCAGAGGTGGAGAGAAGAGGGGAGGGGAAGGCCAGCAACCACTGAAACCCTTCCCCAAATGGATGAATGAACGGGTGACACACATAAATGACTGCTGTGATGATCTGACTTACCGTAGCTCGGTCTAGGGATAATCCTCATATGTCAGATTTCTGTAAGGCCAACATGTGACACAAAGCCGGGCTCCCAGCAGACAAGTGTGCTGTGCTGGTATTAGGGGCTGGTCGGAGCCCGGGCTGCGCTTGGAACGCGCCCGTGTCCGTGCGGGGTGTGCCCGCTCGCCTCCTCGCGCGGCTCGGCCACCGCCGCCTGCCAGCGCAGCACCCGAGGCACACGGGAACCCCACGAGCTCTTGGCTGTTGCATAGATAACCCCAAGCCTGCCCGTGTGGCTGTACTTTCTGGAAAAAAGAGAAGGGGGGGGGGAAAAAAGAACAGACAGACACAAGAAACAGGAAAGCCCCCAAAGACTTGTGGCTGGGATTACCTTGTTCACACCTGTCACCACTGATGTCCTCTCAAGGTCAGAACTGGAGCTACTTGAGGCCAGCTTAAAGCAAACGCCATGTGAAAGGAGCTCTATGAAGGAGCAGCAGGCACTGGAAGGAGGACAGGAGTGCCCACAGGAACATGAACAACAGCTTGCAAGTTAACCTGCCCAGGACTTGGGCTGGTTCAAACAGCTCGCTCCAGGAGAAGTCTGAGCATTCCTTTTTTCTTTTCTATTACTATAGGATGGAGGACGAGGCAGTACTGGATAGAGGGGCTTCCTTCCTTAAACATGTATGTGATGAAGAAGAAGTGGAAGGTAAGAGACTTGGACTGCTGGGGAGGAAGGGTGCCTTTGCTTTGGTGTTTGTACATAGGATGGGCGCAGTCGGAGGGCAGAGAAACATGGTGCCTCAGGTTTGCCCAGTGCTTGGTCCTAAAATGGACTGAAACATGGGTAGGCTTGGTCGGGGTGGAAGTGACTTTCTAGAGAAATCCTCTGTTTCGGTTCGGGAGCGAACATTGTTGGGTGCTGCTGGTGCACGCTTCCGCTTCCCCCAAAGTCCCGTTTGCTGTGTCTTGCACGCTGGCTCCGAGACACCAGAGTTGTTCCTCTACAAATGGAGTTTTTAGCAGTGCTTGCCTCTCACCGCTGCAGTCCTGAGCATGGAAATATGGAGGCAAGTGGAGAAGCCAAGTGAAAGAACCAGCAGAATTTGTAACAAGTGTCGGGGTGGACTTCAGGCGGGAAGTGAATATTTGCTTGGGTTATCCTTTGTGCTCAGGAGGCATAAAGAGAAGGGTTTTCCCCTGAAGGAGAACTTTTTAACAGAGAAGACAGTTTTCTTCTTTAGAGGGAAAGAGTAGACTCCCTTGGAAGTGTTCTTGTTCTCTCTCTAACTAAAAATGTTGTGAAATCCCAAAGGTGAAAGGAATTTAAAGGAGTTAACTTCAAGTTTCTTCCTGGAAAATGATGAAGCTGATAGGAGTGAGTTAATGACAGCAAATTCCTTTTTTCTCATTTTCTGAGGATTGGTTGTCTGTGGGCTTGATAAACTAGTGGGGGAGAAGGAGGAGAGCAGGATAGGGTAGGACTTGAACTGAAAGGGACAGGATTTCACTTTGCAGCACCGTCCTTCCCCTCCTCACTTCAGGATGTAATTTTATTCTGACTTCTTTATTTGCGAACAAATGCCTGTGGCTTTTCAGTTGAAAATGTTTTGAAGGGTGTAAGGTTACAGCTGTGTCATTGTCACCAGTAATGGACAGGAAAGGATCCAGCAGTAGGAAAGAAAATAGTCTCTAAAAAAGAGGAGTTAGAGCACTTCCAGCGAACCAAGCCAGTCCTTTCCACGAAAAAGCCTGTGTTTTCTTCCTCTCTGGGATGAAGTAATCTGTGCTCAGCCGCTATAAATCATCATGTTGGGTTTAATGAGGCTATTTGCTGTCTGCAGGGTCAGGTTTGTATTAGTCTCTGGCTTGTGGAATAATTGACACTTTGGCACAGCAGTTTGAGAAGGGAGAGAGAGAGGATATTTTTTTTATGTTTTACTGTCTTAAATGTTGCCACATGCTGTTTTGATGTGCAACAGCCGCGTGTGATGCTCCAGGAACATAACAGAAGTGGTTGTTGGTGCTGAGCGCAGGAGGGTCCTTCCGACTGTGGTTACTGCTTGAAGTAATATTTGTGGCTGTGGTGTGTTTATATCCTTTGCTCCACTGTGGATATCCTCACTGGGTTTAGTTGGGCTGACAGACCAGTTGCAGCTCATCTCGCTGGGGGAATGAAGAGAGGAGGTGAAACAAGTGCTTGTAATTGTACACGACAGGCCTCCGGAGCTGGAGCTGCTCGGCCAAGCCCCCGGAGAGCCCCGGAGCTGTGTAGCCAGCTAATTCCCTCGGTGGTACTAAAGGCAGCGCCGTGATTCCTGCCAGGCTCCTGGGAGCAGCCCAGCTAAATCACCCAAGGATCCAAGGCCGTGGCATCTGTCAGGGTCACGGGGCACGTATGGTGCATGGATGGGTCGCTCAGGGAGACGCTTCTCAGCCGCTCTGCGCAGTGGGACAGCCTGGAATTCTCGGCGTGCCTGGCAAATCTGGGGCACTGCCGCAGTGCCAGTAAGCATTAAAGGCTTTGGCACTTGGAAGAGATCTTATTTGTCTACATGTTTCCAGCCTCAGTGATTGCGCTTCTGTGCGTGTACTCAGCTACATCTGTCTCTCCACAGGGATCCGTGCGCGTAACGCACCTGGGTATCCGTGTGCACCCCGGGTGCAGTC